AAATACTCAACACCGAGTCACAAGGTTTACTCAGGATTTAATTTCCCTCAGACCTCAGCTTATTGAAGACTTTGAAGTCTATACAAATCCTGGCAGTGACTGACACTTCTGAGAACGGTGATAAGTGGAAAACTGAAGGGATTCATTTTATCAAACAAGCTTTTTTTTAAAGTTAATCTGAAGGAGAAGATAATCCTCGGAGCACCAGCTTCCAAGTGAAGGATGTGGGGTCAGACCTGAACTGAAGCTGTCTGCAGACGACTGGGAGACGGAGTGAGACAGAGGCCGAGGTCCAGCCTTGGTGGGAAGCTTGTTGAATTCCTCTTGCTGGTCATTGAGCTGAATTTTCTGCAATTAAAAAGCTCAAATGACACAGGCAAATGAAATAATCTAGGTTTTAAAAAAAACATAAAACATCCACAGGTCATGTGAACTGTAATCAGTAAATTAGCACAACCTCATCAACATTAGCTGTTTCTATGTTTGTGCACCAAACCAAATGCAGATAATTTAAAGGGGGGGGAGGTTACTGGTTGACCTTTAGACTTTAATTAATATATTCAAAGCCAAAGCAGCACAAACAGAGTTGAGTTGATTGACACCCATTTTAATTGATTTGAAGAAGGAAGGGGCGCCTGGTCGAACTTTGATGACCTCGAGAAACGTTTCTTTATATCTTTAAAATGATAGCAACACAAACGAACATTTTTGCTGCACAAACATTTGACATCAATTTTGTCTGATTTGAAAGGCAACTTCTCTCACAAAACTAAATCAGGGTCACATGTTTTAGAGAATTACTGCGCAATTCAGCTGGGAACTCTGCAGTCAGAAGGAATTTGCATTTTCTCTGTGACAAAACGAAGTACGTCAGAAATTACGTAAAAAACCAACAGTGTTCGACCAAAAAATCAACTCGACATGAGTTGAGGATTCCCACTGTCCTCAGAGGAAACTGAAGGAGAGAGAAAACCTGCTTCAGACCTGAACAACTACAGTGCAAACCTATGATGTGAGTTTTCCTCACAGACAGAAATGCATTTTGTTCATGAGTTATTTTGTTTAGTACAGTATGAAGTCTTCCTGTTGTCGCTCCTCTTTCTCCTCTGTATAATTTGCGTTTTCCCACATTCTCTTTGTGATATTTGTGAACCCTTCTCACTTTCTGTATTATTTTAAATTCTAAATTCTTTATGATTCTTAGAACCTCATTATGATCCACATCATCTGGCTTCCCATTATTGTGACATCTCAGTTTTGGAAACAGTGTCAGAGAAGCATCTAAAAGCTTCACCAGATATTTGGTTCAGGTCTAAACCTAAAATAGCGACGTGACAAAACCAGGGACACATGAGTAATATTCAAAGTTTTAGTACATTTTCCCATGTCTGCAGTTGAAGAAAGGAAAAAGTTAAAAAAAAAGACTGAATGATTTTAACTCCCAAAACATGCAGGAGAACCGGGGCTGCCATTAAATGTGAAGAACTGCCAGGTGATAATCTGCTGTAAGATGTGTAATCATGAATAGCACTGTCACATTTATTTTATATATAAAACCATGGTTTGCCCTTTTCTGATGTTGTCCTCAAATAAAAAAAGCACACACACAGCAGAGTTACAAAATGTACACCATGCATGAATAAAAAGGATTTATTTCATGCATGGTGTAAAATCTGAATTAAACTTCTTTGCTGCTGCGCTAAAATCAAAGTTAAAGCGTTCCTCTAACATGCTGCATGAATATCCAGAATGTCTCCCCCATTAACATCCCCTGAAAACACTGGACTCTTGTTGAGCCACCGCTTAATCTTTAGCACAGGAAGACATTAAGCTGTGACTTGAAGCAGCTTGAAAGTTAACTTAATGATCCAGAAATAAAGAAAGGCTTGAATTCAGGCCAGCTACTGTAAAAGAACTGAAGATTCTTTAACTCAAAATACCTAAAAGTGAAACAATAATTTTACATTAATCCATTTCAGACACTCAATAACTCTGAGGTGTTTTACATACATATATATAACAACAACAAACACTCAAACAGCTTATGAATCTGTCCTATTTGAAGCCCTGACCCTCCGTGAGAAGAAGCAGCAGCAGCTGTGGTACCTTGATACAGATGGACTGCACTGTCTCCTGCTCCTTCGCCTTAGAAACGTTCACTAGTTTGTACGCTTTCTTCATGTTGTGGCGAGCGCTCCCACTGTGACACTGAACAGCCCCACAGAGCTGCAACCCAACACTGTGAAACTTTTCAGAGCCAAAGCTTCACGTCACGCCCAACAGGTGACAGAGGGAATAAATAATGACCTGTTTGTGGACTCAAAGCAGAGGACACTCAGGAAAAGATGAGGGGTAGAGTTAGCGTGAGGCCACGATGAATAAGATTATGTTCCTCGGAGAAAATTCTGCTCTTGACGGACAAAGAGACGAGGACAGACTGGGACTGTGAGGCTGAGAGGAGCAGGACAAAGGAACCAGCCAAGTAAAGAAAAAAAACCACAAACTGTTGTTGCATTCAGGAACAAACAGAATACCTGCTACTTTATTTATTTACTCTAAATGAGACTGAAGAGCTTAAACTGTTTTGTACCACATCTTTGAAGCTGTTGTGGATCTTAAATTGATGAAGAACGTAAATTTGGACTGGATGTGCAATTTTAATGAGTCTTTAGTAGTGTATGAGAGACAAAACATAGTTTTTGTTCTAAACGGCCCATCATACCATACAAGACATTCACAGGATTATCTCCATTCGATTAAAATATTGTGAACTGATCTATAAGAAGCAAACATAATCAAGAACATCATAATCTGGGATTTTCTCATTTTTCAATGCGTCTAAACCTATAAATTTGCAGAATTTACTATTCAGATTTAATATCACACATTGATGAAAGACTATGCATCTTTTTATTGGCATATGAAGTCTTGTAGCCCCTTCATGACAAGATCCAAACCCTTTTGTATTTTTTTTCTACAAAAGCATTAAAAATAATTTCTTTCATTTGATTTGTACCCTCAACACCGGTGAAAAGTCTGGAATGAGAGTCCGTTCTCATGAGAGCGCGAGTGGTGAAACATTTCTAGAGGCCTGCAGCATGCGTCTGAAATCATTAACTGCCTGAGTAGATGCAGATCCACGCTCCCTGCATGAGGACTGTGATTACAGGAGCACCTTGTGTTCTACGCTCCTGTATTATAAGCAGGTAGTAAAAAAAGGTCTTTGCTCACCATGTTGGTCTTCAAAGCCTCAGCCTCGCTGACTTTCCGTCCCAGTTTGGACGGTTCTGCCTTGTCTCTGTCACGAGGCGTCCACCTGCTCTCTGCTGCCTTCAGCATCCTCAGCAGAGTTGGGCTGCATTTTACTGCTCCGTCTCTGGCAGCTTCTTCTGTGTCCTCCTCTTCCTCTTCAGCTCTCTCCTCTGTGTACGGCTCTGGAAAGTATTCGGGTACTGCCAGGTCCTCCCAGGAACCGCCTATATGGTTCTTTTCCTTCGCCATCTCCCCTGTGCAATGCTGGAATGAAGTGACTTAGGTTTGCTCGCCCTCCGTCCTTTACCCACATCCTATTTCTCCCTGATAGAAATGTGTTGACCCCAAACAGCAGCACTGTCTGGTCACTTTGACAAACAATGGAGCAGATAATTGGTCCTTGATGCAGTGTGTACAGGGTAAATACTGATCTGAGTCCTCTTACAGAAAGGTATAACTTTGGTTAGTATAACTGTGTCTCACTCATAACCTAACTAAGCTGTAGACGCAGTGATCTGCCCATCCTTAATGGTTCTGCTCATATTTGAACTGACAGATCTTTGGTGGTGCTCTCTCTGGACTTGCAGAGCCACTTCTTCCAGTGTTCCTGTTGATAACATTGGCACCAAATACAATAGGAAAGACAGGAGCCACATGGACGGGGGGAAGCATCATGAACAAACAGGTATGGTGACTCTTTTGCTTACAATAAACCCCAAAAGCATCAATAGAGGTCCTATGTTGATCGACTACCACACAAACAGCAAGATGGGAAGATTAGACGGTGCTGGCTCAACATGCACTGACAATATGACAGCCTTAAGCTGACACATAATATTTAATATATTATTAAACTTCAGAGCTTTTGCATTGAAGCACATGCGAAGCTTTGCAAAAGTATCCACAGCCCTTAAACTTCACATATGTCTTAATCCAACCATGAACTTTAATTCTTTTTATTGGAATAGTGATTGACCAACAGTAGGTGGCGCTCCTCTGTGAAGTGGTCTTGTATGTTTTGGGTTGTTGTTTATCTTATAAACCAGGTTCGAAGTCTTTACCAATTTCTAACAGGTTTTCTTTCAGGGTTACATCATCAACTCTAAGCAACGTTTCACCAAGTGGAAAGTGTGAATGTAAAAATGTAAACAGTGGTTTCATTGCCCAGAGCTCCTCCAGTCAGAGGTTTGCTGTGTTTCCTGTATACACAGCTTGTGACAAACTTCTGAAAGGACTTCTTACTTTAGCTGTTTTTCTCCACTATGAAGTCCACATTTTTTAACAAATCTTGTGTCAGCACAGATTCCACTGGAGCTCTGTTGAGGAATTTTTTGATTTGAATTGATATCCCTTATTTTTAGAACTGCAACAGGACAAAGTAGCCCAAATTTAAATTTTCAGGCCTCTGTTATTTAGCTTCTGAGGCAAAAGTATCAATGCCATAGCTTCAAATCCACTAGAGGGCACAACAGTTCCTTTTTCACCGTTTACCTCCATAACAAAAACTCAGGAGATTATGAAGCTGCTTATGATGTCCAAGCAGACCAGCTAACTTTCATTTCTAAATCAATGCAGGTCAGAAGACTCAAATATATATAGTTGGTGTACGCACTCCACCTCTCCTAGAGGCCAATCGATGGACTCCACAGGCGAACGGGGACAAAATAAGATTCTAACAATAAGATTCTACAACGCTAAAAAAACTTTTGGGAGTTAAATACATTACCAGGTCTTTGTTACAGTATAATAAAGTACACACACAATATTTTATTATTTAAAAGAAAGTGCACAGGAACCAACAGAATCCATTTTTGGCCGTTTCAGCTTTCGGCTCTATTTTTACTAAGGGAGTCCATGAGTTTCAGCTCCATTCTAGGCGGAAAATCATCGTCCCCGAATGTTCTTGTACTGGCACAGGAGCAGGTGCTTGAAGGTGATCTTGAAGGTGTCGTTGCAGAGGGCGTAGCAAGCGGGGTTGACAGTGCTGTTGACGTAGCAGAGCCAGTACAATATGCTCCACATTGCTTTCGGGACGCACTTGTTGCAGAGTGCGTGGACGAGGACTGTCATGTTGTACGGCGTCCATGTGACGATAAAAGCAACCATGACGGCCACGATGGTGCGCGTCACTTTTTTTCCCCTGTCAGCATTGATGCTCCTTCTCCTTTCCAGAGTTGGCAAGCTCTCTTTACGTTCAGAAAACTGAGGGATGAGAGGAGAAGATTAAGGTTTCCATGTTGACTATTTTAGGTTCCAAAGTTGTGTTTGTTTTTCGTTTAGCGTATTATGAATAATAATTGTTCCTATTCAAACAAATGTCAAGTATTTACAAATGAAGAATATTTAAAAAGGCTTAAAGGCTACTACAAAACGGAGTAAATTACTTACTTTATGAAATTTTAATTATTTTTTTACTCACTTGATGACTTAATTTTACCAAATACAACAGCTTAAGGCCGCCCAGGCCTTGAAAGGCCCCATAAATGCTAATATTATAACAGACCACTGATGTAAAAATTTTACTTTTGTTTATTCAAATGGTTTCAGCATAGATAAATTTAAGGATTTTAAATTGTTTAACATTTAAGATTTTAAGGAGCATAGAACAATCTTCATGGTTGCTTCATGTTTTGTTACGACAGCAACTACGTGATGCTATGAATTTAATAAATGAGTCTGAGTTCTGTTGGTTCACAAACTCAGTAAGTTACAATCACAGCGAGTCATAGCAGAGTTGACGTAGCAGTTTAAATTTAAACTACACCTCCTCTCTCAGATTTCTCTAAATTGGTCGCTGAATTCTGTTAAGATGGTGTCTGTGTTGGAATTTTACTCACACTAAAACTTCCCCTTAACATGTAAGTTTCTTTGGAAGTCGAAGCTTTGATAGTCTCCGATGAGGAGTCCCTGTGGTCTGCCTGCAATTCTCTGAGGAGTCCAATTTCACTGTGCTGCTGCAACATTTCCTTCTCCTTCCCCGCTGAAGATTCCTCCTTCTCTTCCACTAGGCTGAAGGAGACAATATCTGATAAACTTCCACTTGAGAGTCTTGTAACGTTCCTCGTTACGCTGTCGCAGTTGGTCTTCGCGATCTGCCAGTACAGGTAGGCCATGATGCTCAATGGCAGGTAGAAAACTATGATGGAAGCCACAAACATCAGCCATGGGTTGTAGAAGAACTCGAAGTGGCAGTGAGTCGAGAGCACGGATCTCCTTCCTACAATGAACTGCCAGGACAAGATGAAGGGACTCCATAGGACAAAGGACAGGATCCAGGCCGTCGCAATCATCATCCCGGCCATCTTGGTGCTGCGACATGCTGGGTAGGTCAAGGGTTTGGTAACGCAGAAGTACCGGTCAAAGCTTATGAGGAGTAGGTTCATGACTGAGGCGTTGCTGACAACATAATCAGTAGTCAACCAAATGTCGCACTCCACCTCTCCTAGAGGCCAGTGGTCAATCACAATGTAAATGGCATAAAGGTTCATGGACAAGAACCCAATAAAGAGGTCTGCACAGGCCAAACTGAACAGGAAATAGTTGTTGATGGTCTGCAGGTCTTTGTTTACCTTTAAAGGAACGACACGGAGCAGAGTGTCAGATCCTAATCTTTTTTGTGCAGTATGATGTACGTTCTCTTGTTCCTATTAGATTATCCTTCTGCACAGGAGCACACACGATGCATTCTTATCTCTAAGTCTGGTGATGTTTTCAAAGTGTGCAGGAATGGATGCTTGACTCAAACTCATTAATCATGAAAAATGTAAAAAAGGAAGACCCCAACCTTTATGGAGAGCAGGACCAGGATGTTCCCGGTGACAGTGATCAGACTAAGGATTCCCGCTGCCAGCAGGATGAGCACTATCTCCACTACTGTGTATGAGCTCTCTGAAAAGAGGCTGGTGCGACTGCCACGAGTCATGTTAACGATGGAAGACGCATTCGCAGTCTCCATCTTGTCTGATGTTGCTCTCAGAGAGACTTCAGGCTTCAGTCATTTCTGCACAATCCCTGGTAATGACAGAGATTGTAAGGGAAATAAATCATTACGTTTAGGTGTTCATGTTCTGTCTTGTTTATTTTCACACATCATTATGTGTTACTCTCGGGTTATAAACAACCTGCAGGCTATGGGAGTGTTTCAGCAAGCAAGGCCCACATAAGCAGAATGCACAGGTATGACAGGAACAAAGGCTGCAACCGGTGTGTTTACTAGGCCACACTTACATGAGGCAAACCAAAATAAAACTGGATTAAAAAACAGCATACAGTGAAACAAGCTGTTTTAATTGACCCACATGTAACGTCAAGGCCCTCATGGTGTTGTTTGATGACATGCATAAAAGCTTCTGCATAAAACAGAGACGCTTCCATTAATATATTTCTAGAGGACTGATTTTAATGTTTTAAATCAATAAAAATTAATTCGCTCTCTTCTACTCTGCAAACCAGAGCTACTCAACAGCTTTTTCTAGCTGTTGTTGAGCTAGAAAAAGCATCAGAAATACAGATGCAGCCTATAAACAATGTGATTATGTTTTATATATTAATCAGAAAATCAAAATTAGTTTAGTCCAGCGGGTTGTTGCTTGCTGCTAAAACCCTGTCAGAGAGTCCATCAGGCCTCATCAGAAGATCGTATTGTACCTGAGAGATGCTTTCTTCCTGCTCTTATAGCCGGATGAAACTTCACTACAGGGTCTCTAATTTCATCACTCATTCTTCAAAAATCGGTTTTGGGACAATTCTGTCACAGATAAAATGAGTTGTTTATATCACAGGACAGAGAAATGTTTTGGGAATTTAGTGCTTCGGAGGCTAGAATTGTACTCCACATGCACATACATAATCTGCTTCTGGATGTACTAAGCTGGTTCTAAAGTTTGAAAACTAATAAAGCTAAACAAACAGACATAATTTATTTGTCACGTTAAGGCAAACCCTAAAAAAGGTAAGATCTGGGGAATTAAAGCAATTCAGTGTAATTGACTCCCACACATTGGCAGGCACAATTAGCAGTTCTTTTACACAAAAGCAGAAGCTATGAATGATGTAGAATTTATAAAAGCACAAAAGCACTACTTGTTCTAAATAATCTTTGTTTCTCTTAGAATGACCATACATTACTCTCCATTGATTGATTGATTTTTTTGCTTTTTTAAATGTATTAATTTCATTTACACATAAGTGATGTAAAGTCAATTTACCATCGACACATACGTATTTATTTTAATGAATGTGTATTTTGCAAACATTGTACTCTAAATAAGTCATAGGTGCAGATCAGGTGAATTATAATTATATTTTGGAATTTTTAAGAATATAAACAATACTAAAGAATTTTAAAATAATGAAATTATGGTATTTTTTGGTGTGGAGGGCAACATGAAGCTACTGGCCAAGGGATGTATTAAACCAGCAATCATTTGCTGGTATCATCAGTTTATACCTGTTTATATACAGGACTACCTATTAACACATTGTAATTTCCAACAACGAATAAACTTTTTTTAGAGAACAAGAAGAGGCAGAAGAGGCTGAGGACATCTGTTAGTTTCCATTGCTCCAACATCATCAGGCAATGGTTTACTGCCCACAACAAGATGCTGATGGTGTTCCTCTCACCCCGTTTTTCATTCAAATTGCTCCTTCTAGTTCCTGGACACAGGCAATATTTCCAATCATGACCCTGAAAGGATAAAATGACCTGTACAATGGATGCATGGCAAGGTGGAGACAGCTATTTAAATAAATCTGTCCCTACAGAAACTGGAATTTGCTCCCTAAACATAATAAATGGTTGTGCCATCCTAAGCAATAACAGCTTTTAATTTTTTTTTGTTGTTGTTGCAATAATTGGCTAATCCATCAACATATTTATGTAGAAAGTTTAACTTAATGTTTCAAACTCATGTATAATTGGCTAGAAATCTAGCTTGAACAAACAAGTTAAATTCTGACAGCAGAGAGTGAAAGGCATTCCTACTTAAAAGAATTACAACACAGCCGCACGGCATTCTGGGGGATGTAGGAGCCGCTCAACCGCTCAAGGTCAGCGAAGCAAAGTTGGTGACGTCAACTCATAGACATAAATACGCATGTCTGTGACATAAACTACTCTCTCTCTCTCTCTCTTTGGTTACCTAGCAACAGCCTGTGGAGTAACTAGAGCAGAAAGTCACGCCATTAATTTGTGACATTTCAGATATTTGAAGTGAACAAAAAAAACAGAAAGAAACGAGTCAGTAATTATTAATGTCGACTGTTGTCCGGCATTACAAGCGCAACTTTATTATTAACAATTAAGAAAAGACATTCATCCAGAGATCCATTAGCACAATGCTGACCAGAGCTAAACAACAAAAAAGACCAAAATGGAAGTTCAAACGAATACAACAGAAGCTGTAGCTCACCCGTCACCGGTAATGTATCTGTAATGTCATGAAAAATGGAGAATTCAGTCACGTTTCCTCTTCTCTGTCGTAGTCCCCATCAACTTTATCACCATAGCCACCTAAAACTGCCAGGCATCGTGGCAGGCGGCGAAATTCTGAGTGACCCAAATAAATTAAATTCAGCGATGCTGATTGGCCAAATATTTATTATTTTCTCCTAGCAACTACGCGTGATTGGCTAGTGAGTACCAATTCTCGGGAGCTATCAGAAGTGCCCCAGGAGAGTAACAGAGGTATTTTACCCCTTCTTCATCCAAAGAAAACTAATCTGGAGCTACAAAATATAAGAGCTTATATTGCTGGTCAACTTTTATTCATTTTCTATCTCAACCTGTTGTATTATGACAGGTTAGAGACATGATTATCTGTTGTATAAAAAGGGAAGATGCCACTTCTACATAGTTTTCATAGAGGTGTCAATATGAAGAGTGAGAAATTTAACATCAGGCTGAAATGCAGCCTCACACAGAGACGTAAGAAATATCAAAAAAGTGTGTGCATCCCCAGCTAAACAGGAATTCAAAAATAAAGACGTAGTATAAAATTAACATGGAAAATATTTATATTAAAAAGGGAACACATTTGGTAAAATATTAGATTTTTTTGTGGAGGCAGTGAAGAGCTGCATGTTCTTTCTTAAAGTGTTATCACGTTAATGAAGAGGGACTCCCTGGAGTCAGAAAAACTGGGGGATCCAGACTCTGGATATGTTCCTGGTGGTACGCTGAAACAATTTAGTTCACAGCAGAAAACAATATCTATATTTCCAAGGCACCTTCATGGGAATACCTCACAAATACGCCAAATATTTTAATATGATTCATTTTATTCCTTTGCTGTTGTTTTGCTTTTCTTAATCTGTTTTTAATCTGGCTTTCATGTCCCAGATTTCCTAAATTAAAATGGTTTCATTCAAGCAAATACTATAACTGGCAATTGGCAAAAATCTAAGATATTTTTTAAAATACTAGTTTTTAATGGTCTGACCATATTTCTGCAAGCAGACATCAAAATATGTCTATGTTGTAGTATGATAAGTTTGCAAAATGTTTACAGTTACTGCTCTCACCTGCAAGACTGTGATACAAATCCATAAGGATTCACCTCGTCCACAGGGACGAGATGAGCTACTTTAGTTTTGTATACTTTCCTTCGTGCTGTAAATGATGTAGACAGAGCAGCAGAAAGTATCCTGCATGTGGATGAGGCTCCTCCTCTGAAAGAGCCCAGTGTTTTGTGTGTGTGTGTGACAGTTCAAATAAGAAGAGGTCATGAAACTATAACTGACTATTTTTCTGAATCCCTTAAGCAAGGGTTGCATATTTAAATTAGCAAGAGACCACAACATAAAGGGAGAAACATCTGATTCATGACTGTGGAGAGCTCTGGCCTCTGCAGCAGAAACACACAATAATATTCCTTGTTTCCAAAACTCTGGAGGGAAAAGCATCAATGGATGTAGAACATAAAGTTCTACTGAAGAAGGAAACAGAAGACAGCTGTCCTGTTTCTCTGCTGCTGCAGGACTTTAACCTTCAAGACTCTGATGTTTTGACCTTTTAACCAAACGCAGTTAAAAGGTCTGCGTTTGGTCACGGCCTTACATTGATGGAGTTACCAATAAGGATAATTTCCCCCTGCACAAAATCATTTCATGATTTGAGGCCAGAAATATTTCATAAAAAAAAAATTAACCAGTCAATCAAAAAATAAAGCCAAAAAGTGAAACAGAAACTATAAAAATTTATTATCTTTCATTTTTCTCATCATTAGGAACGGTGATTGATATTTCACCTCCTGCCACTAAAAATAGCAAAAAAAAAGAAAAATATTCATATTGAACATAAAATTCATAGATAATGTGTTTGGGGTCCCCTCAGACGAACATTTTTTTTCTGTAGATATGATCTATGATCATACATGTTTGTCTCCTTTCAGATTAAAATATAATGCTAGGAATTCCAGATTTCACATTTTTCACTCACAAATCTCAAACTGATCAACATAAACTCAGAAAAAAACTTAAAGCCCTTTGAAGCAGGTAATTTTGACAAAAAAGTGCAAACAACAGGAGTCAATTTTAGATATTCTCAGAAAAACCCAGATTTCCTGGAGATGCACGTTGATTGCTGTTTCATGACTCTGCTGCCCTCTAGAGGACGGATCTTTCTCTGCGCATTCACGCGTATATCTCCCTTGAAGGCTCAATAAAACACATTTACCTGAGTTTTAAAGAGTTTGCGCTTTTACGTGTGGGTGCATTAAACTGATAATAAATAATTATGTAATATGTTATGAACCCTTGTTTTAATTAACAATTCAAACATAAACTTGTACTGTTGCATCGTGCTGTTTTTCCCCTTTCTTTTGGTTAGTATCACAATGACAATCTTTTATTTCTGAAAATAACCCAAATCTTCAAGAGGCCTTTGTGGCAGATGGAGGTGATATGTCACCATGGAGATGGCAGTGCTGTCACTGTATGACGTATGTAGAAGGCTTAATTACTGTGGCCAAAGAGAGGGAGGAAATGACAGCTCTGGATGGTTTTATTGAAAGGATCATGGCTCGGATCTAGAATTATCTGTGAATCTTTTTTCAGCCTTCCTGTTGAGCTTGATGACCTTGAAACATTCTCATGATTCAAGGATATTGTTTTCTGTCAAGGCTGTCTGCTTTTGACAGTTGTTAAAGTCATTTCAGTATTTGGTATTCAGAGCACAGCATCTCATTCAAAATAACATAATTCATTACTCATTAAAATAGGGATGCTCAAGTCCAGTCCTGGAGAGCTACTATCCTTCTGCAAACTTCAGCTGCATCCCTGCTCCAACACCTGAATGAAATGGCTGAATTGTTGGTCTGAGGCGACGACCCTGATTGCAACTTGATTGCAATTAAAAAACTGTAAATAAAAACATAAAACAATAAATGAATTAGTGCAGTTGAGAATATTATGTGCAAGAGATGGGGCAAAAGGTGTCAAAATTTACATAATTCACACTAGCTGACTTTTAATTCTTCATCCTGCAGCACAGTGGATGATAAACACACTAATGAGTCTCACTCTGTGTCCCTGATCTCCATGAAGCAACTGGATCACCAGTTTGCTGATGAGCTGCTCCGTCATTGGACCATTTATCTCTCGCTATTAAAAAAGTCTAAACATTTCCTGTTACCTGGGGGTTCGCTGACATGGCGGTGCCATGGCAGCAATAATACACCCTCCTCCCCGCAGTCAGAGACAAACAAATCCGAACACAAGCCTTTGGTGCTCCTGACTGGTGTTATGCTGATTAATAAAAAAAGATCAGATATACTGACTACGCTTGTGGCATGCATGCAAAGACAAATCTTTCCATGTTCATTTCGAGTGGAAAAATGATGGCACTAGTTTGCATGACGGTGAGATCATCTGCAAAGAAAATCATATGTAAAGTGAGGAGATGAATTCTGACCACATGTCAACCCTTTTCCATCCTGTGTGTACATAAATAATAGGACACAAACATTAATTTGAGCTCAATCTGAGTTTGATCCTGAAATGAGAACATGGAGAACAGGATTTTTTATCTTTCACTTTTTGTGAAACAGCTCACCCTTGGTGATTCAAACAAGTGACCCACAAAATAAACTAACACATGCTCAGTCAGATCATTTAAAAACAATTTTTTACTAACTCTTTGTTTACTTTAGCTGGGCGGGTTTCTACTGCTTTAGAGCCAGGGCTAATTTGAATTCATGGATGTGGTCACCGCAAAGCTCAACCACAGGGTGTGACCCTCATTTGGGAGCTTATCCCTACACCTCCTGACAGCGGCACGGCAGGCCTTTCCCATCAGAGCAACCCGCATTTGGCTCACATCTTCCCTAAATAATTAAAAAGAAATCTCAAGCCCGAAATCAGATTTGCGTTCCACTTTTTGTTTCCCTCTTTGGTTCTTCACACATGGATGTCTGAAAGTACTTCCAGAATGTTGGACGTTTTCATATGCCTTGAATTTTTTCAAAATTTTTTCTGATTAAAACCACATATTTGAATATATTTGATTGGGATTTCTAATGATGGACCAATACAAAGCAGTGCATAATTTCAAATGGGAGTAAAATGAAACCTGTCCTTTTAAAGGGTTTTAAAACACAAAGGCTGAAAACTGTGGCCTGCATTCAGTTTTGATTCCTCTGAGTCAGAAAGTCCTAAATAAAATCCAGGGCAACCAATTCCCTTCACAGTCGACATCTGTAAAACATATTCCAGTGTTTTAAACCTGGATCCTGTAAAAGATATCACACCCTAAAAGGCTGAGTGGAAAAATAAAACAAGCTTAATGCAAAGAGAAAACCTGAGTTGGTTTTGTTAATAATGATCTGTGTCTGTCATTTTCAAAGCATGAAAATGAAACATCAGTGGAGCTGATTTGCCTAAGTTGTCATAATATTGCCTGCACAACATCAAGTGTTTACAGCTCCCATCAGAATAGCTGGAGCCACACGTTTCAATAGCTGAGATACATTTTTGGATTTAAAAAGCTATTAAATATGGGGGCAAAAAAACGTTTTTAGATGTGTTAAAAATATATTTCTGTAAACACTAAAAGTACAACTTTATAAAGTGAATTCTGATCAATTACAATTGGAATAAATACACGGTCACTTCATTCAATCAATCAACTGCACTATTTTTAGAGTTTCCTGTTCTTCTGAATAAACTTTAATCTATTTAGCCCATCTCTGGTGGTCATTCAGAGGCAGAAAAAATCTCTGGAAGGGTCGCCAGTCCATTACACAACACAGAGACACACATTAATGTGATTTTTTTCTCATAAAAACATACTAATGAACATGAACAAATAAAATTACTGCAGTTTTAGCTTTGAGATGTGGCACAAACCCATGTTACGCAAGCAAATATGCTGTGACCACATAAGCAGGAAAAAGCAATCTTGTGGTTCTGACTCGCTGGTTAACAATTATCAAAATTTGTCTGCAATCGTTTCTCTCGGTTTCACTATCATAAACTATAAGTATTTATTAGTACAATAACATTTTAAAATCCTTGCAGCATCTTAACGTTAGTTCTCTTTGAGTACTTTC